CCTCCGCGAGGGCGACTCCGACTCCACCATCGACGACCACCGAAGAAGCCCCCATCGCAAACAAGCGTCGAGGCCTGCGTCGGCCGATGCCAAACAATCAGCCACACGCGCCGGCGACCAGACGACTCCGACTCTATTGACGAGCATCGCAGGGCAAAAGCGATGGGCTTGCGCCGAGCCAGCGCCAGAGCTGACCACCCGTCTCGTGTCATCGTCACCGCAAGGGACCCTCCTCAGCAGCTCTGACTTCAGGAAGACAAAGCAGGGCACGGCGACCCCTCGAACACGCAGGAAGAGACCGACTACCAAGACCCATCATCAAGCCTGCTCCGCTCGAAATGCCATCGTTGCCACACAAGAAGCCGCGCAAACATCCACATCGCCGGACGGGCACCAGCCGACCGCAATGTCGCGAGCGTCCAGCCCATGGAGAGCGCAAACGGGAACCAAAACTCTTCAAGGCAACGCCCCCAAGGGGGAAGCGACGATGACGACGCCGTCGCCCGACCCGGCCGGGCCTTAGGCTTTCACCCGAAGAGCAAGGTCCGAGGGTGGCGGACACGGGGCTCCACGACGGCGCCTCCAAGGAGATGAAACGACGCCCACGGACACCGACGCCGCCGGCCGGTAGGAACCCGGCAAAACTTTCGCCCGGAGCACCTGTCACCACTGGCACCCCCACGCACAGCACCTCCACTGGCCCACCCACCTCCACGAAGACGCCGCGCCAGCAACCCTCGGAGCAAGGTTGTCAGAATCGCGATCCTGTTATATGATTCTACAACTTTACGATCCAAACTAACCCCTATGATTCTACGATTTTAGTTTATAGAATCTACGTTTTTACGATCCTGATAGTGAAGATTCTACGATTTGCGATCCTACCATCGGAGCTCCGATCCGATTCAAAATCGCGATTCTGACAACCTTGCCTCGGAGAGCCACCACAACCCACTCCTCACCGGCAGCTAGAGTAGCACCGGCAAGCCAGATCTGGCCGCCTGCCAGATCCACATTCCCCCACGTCAGACCGCATCCAGTACGCAGCCACCACGCAGACGAGTACACGCCCACGAGCAGGGGCAGGAGAGCCGCCACCCCTCCGGACCCGCGCCGGCCGGGCCCAGAAGCACGAGATCCGCGCCGGGAGCCGCCACCGCTGCACACTGGGAGCCGCCGCCACAGCACAAAGGGGCGTCCATAGAGGAGCACCACCAGGACGCCAATGTTGCAGGGCCGCCGAAGCCGCCGGGCTGCCCACGAGCAGGGGAAGGAGGGCCGCCACCCCTCCTCACCCGCGCCGGCCGGATCCGGCAATGCAAGCGCGAGATCCACGCAGGGAGCCATCGGCGCCGCACATGGGGAGCCGCCGTGGCATCGCCGCCTAGCCGGGGGGAAAGAGCACCTCCCACCACCGAGGAACCTTGTCGCTGCACAGCGAACGCCCCGCCGCCGCCGTCCGCAGCGCGGGCTTAGCCCGGCCGCATCTTCCGGCGGTGGCGAGGGGGGAGGAGAGAGGGGTGCGGCGCCAGCCGACCGGAGAGAAGGGGATCCCCCGAGTCGCCTGGGGACGACGCGGGGGTCGAGGCTATGCAACTGACTTAACAACAAAAGAATATTCTAGTGAAAGTATTGTAGCTAGTATCATGCAATGTCAATTAGGCATGAAGCTGACATGGCATATCATTAAGTGAAGAGAGGGACACTTGTAGTATCATAATATGATACCATAGCATAGCATGTAAATGGAGAAACCTAGTATCTATATATTGTCCACATCTTCATATTAGGGTTATAGAAACAATTAAATAAGATACTCACTCTATAATATTGTGCATTATGAAGGTAGTATCACATGCATGATACTAGTTTTGGAGCACCACTGTGCGTCTCTTTGGGCATCTCCAACGCTCGGCGCTAAAGGAGGGCGCGAGGAAAATTTTCCCGCCCAAGCTACAGTTGCATCGTTAGGCCTTGTACAATGGGAGGTGCTTAGGGAAGGTGCTTAGAGAAAATAAACCAGACTTTTTTTAAGCACCGGTGCTTATTTGTACAGGATAGACGCTTAACTAAGCGTCTCTTCTTTAGATATAGGCACTGATGCTTTAGAAAAACCCAATTTATTTTTCTAAGCATCTCTCTAAACACCTCCCATTGTATAAGGCCTTAACCCTCCCGGTGTCGGGGTTGACATCTACTCAAAATATAGCAACGAGTGCTTAGCATTATTGTTTCCTGAGCCGTATTAAGCGTTGGTGGTTAGCGCCCTTTTTTTGCGGTTGCGCATTGGTTAGCGCCTTGCATTGCATTGGAAGAGATAACTCTTATGGCCTTTTCAATTTTCTGAAATTATTTTTTTCTTTTTTAAGCGCCTGGATAAGTGCTCACCATTGTAGATGCCCTTAGAGCATCTTCAATAGATGGTTTAAAATTTGGAGGTCCAAAATCAGAGATGTAAAATTTGAACCGCCAAAAAGTGTGTTTTAGAGCTTCAAAAAAAGCTCAACCCCAACAGATGATCCAAATTGATGGTCCAAAAGAGCAACTTCAATAGACGGTCTAAAATGAAGATGTAAATTTTTCAAAATGACAAACTACTAGTCCATTCAATATAGTTCAAACATCAAATTCAACATAGTTTCATACATGAACTTCAACTACTACTTATTCAAACTACTAGATAAACTACTCCTCATCGTCGGAGCTGCGGAACTGCGCCCAGAATTCCTCCTTCTCCGAGTCGTCGCACCCCTCCTCCTTCTCTGAGAAGTCTGCCCAGTCCTCCTTGGAAGAGGACTCGATGGGGATCACCGTCGAGGGACCGGCCTCGTCCTCCTTCTTCGCCCCTTCTTCTTCTGCTCCGCCTCACGCTTCCAGTAGTACTCCAGCTCGGCCTGGACGTACTCCGGATGCTCCCGAGGAAAACTTGGCATCGCCTCCTCATCAGTCTCGCCGGCACTGACAACAACCGTCGGCTTCTTCGTCGTCTTCTTCTTCGTCGGGATCTCCTTCATCTTGATGCCCTACGGCACAAGCATCTCCGTTTCCGCCCGACTCTCAATCTCTGGGAGTTGAGGTGCTCCCGAGGCCTCTCGGCACGCCACACCGCCACATCGTAGGCACGCGCGGCCTCGTGGTAGGAGGGGTACGTGCCGATCCACCAACGCCTCCCGGCGTCGGAGAACTCCACTCAGAAGTTACCGGAGGGCTTCTGCCTCATGCCGAAGAAGCCTGACTTGCCCTTCGGCGTCTTCTTCGGTGCCATCGGAGAGCGGTGAGAGCGGTGGAGCGGCGGCGTTTCGGCCGGGGCGGTGGCGGACGGAGCCGGGCGGGGCGAAACTAAGGGGCGGTGGCGGACGGAGCCGGGCGGGGCGGCGGTGGCGGACGGAGCCG